ATCCATATGCGCCGATTCGCCTGGGCATTGCCTTTGATTGGAACATCAAGTTTATAAGTTTACCAGCTACAAAAGCACAAGTAGAAATATACCTCACTACATATTACTGAGCTAAGCCTTTACGCTGCTCATGTACTCCCGAGCGCAGGAAGTCTGTTATTTTATGACAATGGCCAGATCCGTTTTCTATCGATGAATGAGCCGTTTGGGAGAACCGTTTACAGTTGTAGACTAAAAAGCACTGGTTTCAGCTAGAGATGTATATTATATAAAAAAAGTAGAACAGGAATGAGTAAATAATTTATTTATTCATTTATTTACTTGCGCTGAACACTTGCACGAAATAAATGGCATCCATTGAATCAGGTAGCCAATCATCTGAACCCCAATTAGAGCGAACAAGTCGTTCTTCATTCTTTGGATGGCGGCAAAACTTTAACCGAGTTCCTGTTTGCGGACCAAACAACTTGCTTGAAAATACCAGGGCTTTTCTGAACAACCTAATCCACACGAACAAATCCTCCTAAGGATCCTCAATTTTTAATCTTCAAGAAATATCTACTACACAATGAGCTCTCAAACAAAACACGATCCTTGAGACTCGAGACGATCATAACTGATTGTATGAAAGTAAGTGCTACAAATCTTTAAAATTTTTCTCTAATATTTTTGTCAACATTTTTCATTGATTACAATACTGTGTTGAGAACTTTTCGCGGAAGCGGCACTCTATCAAAAATCCGGAGTCGAAATCGTAGGAACTTCCAGTCAAGTAATCTCAAATTAAAATTTACGAGAAAATCTCATACAAAATTGTAAAAAGTCATTACTACTTTATAATAATAGTTTGATACTCAAGAGTTGAATTGAAATTTGATCGTTTCAAAATAAAATAGAACATTGAGCTGCCATTTTTCTAACCTATGATTTTGTAAATTAGCTCCTGAGAAGTAAGTTCTAGTCAGGTCTACAAAGAACTGTCCTGTTAACGTACAAAATGCGCTCGAATGATTTAGGCTGCATTTGTAACCTCAATGTGCTTAACTATTCACGCTCCAGAACTCAAACTAAAAGCTTGTCGTTCTGAAATGATTAAAGTGATAGTAAGTATAGCTTTCAGAAAAGATGGAAACATGTTTTGCAGAAAATTTCGATTTTTTTGATTTTTTTGGAATGGCTGTCCTGCAAAGTCACTGCACTACTACCGAATAGCTCTTTACAGTTCGAAAGACACATCGAGTTTGCTCTAAACCTTTGGTTGTTGGTTTTTCCACAGATTCTTCATTTTCAAGTTTTTTAATGCACTATCCAAGTGTAAAATAACCAAGTTTATTCTGGTTCCGTAAGTGTTACCAGTAAAGCGGCGAAACAAAAAGTCGTACTGTTCCAGAAAGCTCACTGCCACACAATCTGCACCTTAACAAGCCTAAAATCTGTTAACTCTCCGATTTTTGAGCTGGCTTTTTCAGAAATATAAAACATCTAAAACTGAGTATTTAAAATCTAAACTCAAACAAAAAAAAGCAAAAATATGATTATAATTATTGAACATTTCCCATTTCCCAACTTTTGGCTAGAGAGTCCGAGTTGAGATGAAGAAATCGCTGTCAACTCTGAGTTGACGAGCAGCTTCAAAGCGGAGTTTCCGCCAGTACTAACAGCCCAAACTAATTAAGAGTTTGAATTGATAAAAATTCTAGAGTTTTTCTTTAAGATTTTCCAAAACGAACTTCTAAGAAAAATTAGTTAAGAAAAAATTGTATGGGCAAACCGCAAGTTTGATATAAATAACTTGAATATTACTACGACAATTTACGAAATTTTTAGGGACTATTTGCAATGCAAGAATTCGGAATGCTTGCATAGTGTTGAGGAATGATGTGCTAAATGATATGATATGATATCGTGTTTGTTTATGTAAATAAGCCAGCCATATATAGTCGTGACCAGGGCTCGGCACGAGGTGGCTAGTTGAAAATGCAAAAAAACGAAGTCCCCCTTGACTTTTGCGAATTTTCACGAAGTCCCCTTTGACCCTAGACCAGGGCTCGGCACGAGGTGGCGTCCCGATATTGCAAAAAATGAAGTCCCTTTTGACTTCAATGAAATTACGACATCCGCCACGAGATATTCAAGGAAATACATGAAAAGGAACGAAACAAAGCAACAGCAGAAAAAAAACGAAAAAGAATCATCGAACACACGCAATTATATTTATATTCTCCGGAATGGCGGCATGATATATCCATCGTGCAGCAATACGCGCCTGGAGCAGCTTTTCCGCGGCCATTCAAAATTTTCAAGGGGCTATAACTAAGCGGGGAGGAGGGGGTTTGAGGCGGTTTAGGAACTAGTTTGTAGGGTTCGGGATGTAGATGAAAAGTATGTAAAGAAAGTAGAAAAATTATGTGAGGGGGGAAAAATTTATGACTTTTTCTTTCCTAAGCCACCTCAGGTGGCTATCCAGGTGGCTTGAAAGCCACCTAACTCCGGAAAAAGTTGAGCACGCCTTTAGTTCACAAAATTTTTACATAATTTTTCATACTTTGTTCTAACTCCCCATTGCCCATCTACACACCTATTTTGGTGTCATTTCATCATCAATTCGCTGTAAACAAACCTTTTGTTTATTTGCTAGCGGCATGCCGGCAGCGTGCCGGCCGCAGATCGAGAGACAACGTTATTCTCTTCCGCAAAAACGATATCCCCTATGCTTTTTCCCCAAAAACGATATCCAGCTTGCTTGCTAAGCCACCTGTGCCGTGCCCTGGTCGTGACAGTCGTACACTTCTTAGTATTGTGGCTTGCTCTCTCGGATAAAGCTTCTCTGCATCCGCTCTGGTACATAACAGTGGCGATCAGGGACGAAGCTCATTATGCCGAGAACAGCCGAACGCTCAACAAGGACGGCCGAATGCTCCAGATCAAGGATGGCAGAGCACTCGCTGGATGGCAGCCTCATCACTGCTCTAATCGAGCAAATGAGGATTCAACAAGAACAGACAAGGATCCAACAAGAAAAGATGGAAGCTCGACATGAAGAACAAACCAAGATGCTGCAAGGAGCGATGCGTGCACAACATGAAGAAACCATGTTGCTGTTCAAGGCCCTCTAGAACCAACAAGACCCGGACAGAAGGAAAGAAACCTGCGACTAAGTCTCCCGTGACGTGCAAAACTTCGTGCCTGACGAGAACTCAGGCACGACTTTTAGTTATTGGTTTAGCAGGTACAGCCCCATGATTAGGCAGGCCGAAATGCCCGATGACAGAAAGAGGGACCCCATTTTGACAAAGATGAGCGAAGAAGCATACCGCAGTTATGCAGACGATCTCCTCCCATCGAAACATATGAAGTGGATTTCGAGACGACAGTCGCCAAGTTGGCGACCCTGTTCGCGTCCAAAAAGACACTCGTACGAAGAAGGTACGAATGCCTTAAAATAGATTGCCCGCCGCTCACGGCAGGACACACTCCTTTTCGCGATTACGCAAATCAGATCAAGCGCATGGACGAGGAGGCGCAGATGAAGGAACTGCACTACAGGACTGAAGACGTTGCAGTTTGTCTCAGGACTCCAGGACCCTTCCTTGCGCGACATTCGCTTGAAGATGCTCCAGCGGCTAGACTCGCACAAGGATGGACTGTTGACTACTGAAGAACTAGTCAATGAGTGCGAGAATCTCACAGCGTTGAACAACGACTACGCAGACATGGGAAGACAGTACGCACTACAAGTAATAAGAAAAGCGAGCTCACGAGAGCCAAAAAGTGGAGAGCCAAGCCTAAAAAGATACCCATACCCGCCTTCGGGAGCTGAACAAGCAGATCATAATGTACCAAAGAAAAGGACTTACTGCAGCAAGAACCACAAGAACAACAACTCCATTGGCTTCATAGCACAGGCCGCTTGTACATACGTCAGTATCGAAATGAAAGGTCGTTTTCTACCCTTCCAACTCCTCAGACACTTTTTCCGACGGCCCGCGCGCCTTGAGCGTGCGAGCGCTCATGCCTCCCGCCGCCCGTGGAATGAAGGTACGCGGCTCGCTCGCTGAAGGCGCGCCGCTCGCCCGCTCCTTCGAAAGCGTTGTAGGACCCTATTGTGATACAGATAGCAATCCTTTGATAAAATTCTTATTTTGTTATTGAATTACGACCTCATAGCGTCAGATTTATTGCCAAACATGTATACAGGTATGATGATGACATATTTATCATTCAAAGACTTACAGAACGACGTAATACAGAATCAAAAGCAGAACATGATAGGCAACAACTATAATATCATTTTTGCGCTAAGCACCCTGAAAACACGTAAAGCACAGCAGCCATGCTGATACTGCGAAAGCACTGTTAGATACCGGTAAGAATGACCCGATTGAGCAAAAAAACCGGAATCCTGTCAGAATCATGACACTGAAGCAGTGAACACGGAGATTTTGATGAACGCTTAAAGCAAGGTGCCATTATATTACGAAAGATGAAACACAAAAGATAAGACACTGAACAATACTTGAAAAGAAAACACAAAAAGAAAAACCTAGACAAATCAATTTTTTTCTGGAGGAGACGTTGGAAAGGAATTATGCAGATGTTGACAGGCGTCAGCCGATGATTGAGTTGCTGCTACGTAATCCTTTTTCGGTTAGTAACTTCCTTCAATCTTCGGCAGGTGCGGCACGTTTCTGGCGCTGAAAGAAGTGTCAGATCATCATTTAAGTATGCACAAATTCTCACCTTATTGGCTATCCATTTTTCTGACTCGTAATTGTAGGACCTTATATTTCGTCTGAAATCAAATTCTCAATCACTGTGAAAATCGTAAAGGATCTTTGGACTTACAGAGTCATTTGGAGAGATTTGAATAGTTGAGGTCGCCAATCCTGGCGCTGTTATCTTAGCTCAGAAAGCGCTTCCATTCTTTTCTTTTCGGTATCTCCAAGGTTTCTGTAAAATCTGAAACGCAAATCTTTCGGTTGTTGCGGATCCTGTTTTAGTCACTCACAAAGAAAAAACTCGCGTCTTTGGTACACGTTACCTGGAAAAACAAAGTCTTGGAAACATAACAGAAAGGAAAAAGCAAAAGCTATGACCTTGTGGAACTTCTAATTCCATCTGGATATCTGAGGGTGCCCCTTCGTCTTCGACAATATTTTCCACAAAAGGATTCTCTCTACTGAAAACGAAACTACTAGAGGTAATAAAACCAGATAACAAATATACCTAGTGAGACATGGTGGAAAAACAGGTCTAGGCTTCGCGTACGTTTGTGGTCCTCCAGATTTACGCTTGAGACTGACCGCGGCCCAATACATCTTTCAAAATATTGTAAATAATATCAGGAAAAAACATAGTAAACTCTGGTGACTGCACCAAAAATCCGCACGAAAACGTCTCCCTGCATAGCTACGGTAGGGGTCGAAATCACAAATCGGCAAATGTATCTTTTCCCTGTGCTTTGCCTAGGCAAAAGCCGCAGCAGGGTGTGTAGCGTACGGCGGTGGTCGTGCTTGCAAAGTTTCACGATCGTCCGAATCGCCGTACACCCGTTTCAGGCAGAACTACCTTTTACATCCGTTACCGTGTAGCTACCGTAATCCGAGAAAATGACGCTACAGTTCAAAAGCAATGTGATATTTAGCATCAGCGGGCCGAATAACCCCTCTGGGCCAAGTTCCGGGCAAATCTATGATTTTGACCCCCTACCGTATGCCTACCGTAACCCTGCAGGGAGGCGTTTTCCTGGGGTGAAAGGGAGATATTCGTGATCAGCACGTCAGATAACCCCTTTGGGCCAAGTTTGAGAGAAATCCATGACAAAAAATTTGGGGCCTTGATGGCCGAATAGCGGACGCAATACGGACGCTAAGATGCTACGGAATAGGGAGCGCATGGATGACAATGACTGTGCAAATGTGAACCAGAAAAAACTTACAAAGAATGGAGACGATTAGCCGGCAAAACGGACAAGCAACCAACTATACGATAACAAATGCAACCTCCTACGGCTAACAGCGAGTTCAAAATGATGCTTACGCGTCTTGTTAATTTATACATGTTCGTTGTCCTTACATATTTGTTTATGACGCGCCGCTGGCCCGGTCACTCAAGATGGCGCGCCGCCCGTTGAAGGCAAGGCGCGCCGCTCGCACGGCAGGTTTCGATGGCGCGCCGCCCGTCGGAAACGATGCCACGCCCACAAATCTAGGCGCGCCGCTCGCACGGTAGGCTCTCGAAAGCGCGCGGGCCGTCGGAGAAAGTGTCTGAGTCGACACTGGTTCTGATATCACAGTGATATCCCGACGGCGATGGAAGATGCTCGGATCGCCTAATTTGGAACCTTGCTCTCTGCTAGTGAGAACGGCAGATGGTTCACCGCTGAAAACTTTTGGAAGATTTTATATTAAATTCGCCGTGGCGGATCGAAGGACAAACAAACTTATCCATGGGGAAGGATACTGCTACGTTGCCAACACAAATCTACTCGGTCTAGAGTGGTGTATTCAACTACCTGCATACAAGAAGTTGAAAGATAGATACCACTGCCCTTCAGTAAAGAAAGAAGATTTCAAAGTGGCACAAGTCGTCTTGGACTCAAAGAAATCTTCTGCGAGGGAGTTTGACTGCACATTGCAACGACGTTTAAAAGTCGAAGCAAAGTCGCTCTTAAAAGAAAAGAAGAGAAAAAGATTTTTAAAAGAAGCTGCTCCGATCATCAAGAAAGAACGGCCAACTTTAGATCCTTTGCCACCTGTAAGCCGGTCTCCTGGGCAATCGTCCCTAAGACATGCCAATCATGCGCAGTGAAAATCTGAAGTGCAGTGAAGACCAGAGAACAAATGACTATACACCTAGAAGAAAAGCAAGAAGCCGATACTTTGTTACAGATATGCCGAGTCAAGAGCCTATATCGTCTACGCTCTCACCAACACCGAAGAAGCCATCAACTTCCAAGAAATATCCAGTTCGACACCAAAAGCAACCCCATCAACTACAAGTCGATCCTAAGAAGAAGAATAAGACATACAGATAATTTTTGTCTTAGGAGGGAGGTGTTGAGGAATGATGTGCTAGATGATATGATATGATATTGTATTTGTTTATGTAAATAAGCCAGCCATATATAGTCGTAACAGTCGCACACTTCTTAGTCTTGTGGCTTGCTCTCTCGGATAGAGCTTCTCTGCATCCGCTCTGGTACATAACACATAGATTGGGAGAAAAACTCCGAAACATGAACACTTGTTTGATAACACAAACATAAACAGTGGGGTGGCTGAAAAGGGATGAAAGCGATCCTACACTACTAGCATGATCTCATCCTAAGGTTTTCTCAAAAATCAAGTTGGAATGCTCCTTGAAAACAAAGTTCCTTAAATGAGTGTAAGATGTGGTTCATTCTGCTTTATGGCAACGCGGAACTAATAAGCAGAGAGCACGAGATATTGAATCCCACGTACGCAAAATACACATTCCATTTTTGAATCACATCAGTTCTGCGCCCAAAACTCTAAACTGTTCGCAATCGAGTATTTGCAGCCTTAAGTAAGTTGCCTTAGGCTTACCTAACATGTTGCAAACTTCAAAGGGGCTGATAATACATTTTTACGGATTCTCTATTACTTAGTCTTATCATTTTGATGATTTTGATGGTTTTTTCAGAATTCAGAAATTTAATTTTCGATTGGAAATATTGAGCATGATGCAAACATTCAGTCTCTCGTTGACTAGTGACGCAAATGCCTGTCGCTCCCTCAGAGCTGGCCTAAAGGCGGTCACAGTCAATTTTCAGAGATTAAGTCCCTTACAGTAGTTTAGAAACTCCGTCGAAAAGTGGTTAGGTTTCTATATGGGATTGAATGGGATTCCTCAAATTCTAGGAAACGAAGAAAAATTCGCTCAAAACATCTTAATAATCGAGTAAAGGCCCTGTTTGGCGTTTTTACACAAGCCAGAACACACTTCCAATCTGTCAAGCATTGAGAAAAGTTAAACTAATTCTGCTTTCAACAGACTTATTACGCAATGGGTGCGTTTCTAGATCAGGAAAAAATTTTCTCCGACGAGGATGTGCTGTTAGGGTTTTCGTGAACGGAATAATCCAGAAGACTTCGGACTACATCAGACAAATCTAAGTATTGTTAAGAATGCGTCTCTTTCGCTATAACCAACGGGGTGCAACATCCATCAAAGCAGATTCCTCTTCAACTGGGAGGTACAAAGTTCAGCCAAGATGATGCTTTAAACTAATATCTTCTTACTTGAAAATAGCTTTTTATGAATGAAAGTGTTTGAGCCACAAAGCTAAAAAACTTGTGCGAGCTGACATGACTGAAATTCTCCGAGCCGATCCGCTTGGCTTATTGTTGGAAAATCTTGAAAGCTATGAATTTAACACTTGCCACAAGCTTAAATTCATCACGTAAGCTTCTGAATTTCTCAAAAATGTGACATATTAGGTGGGTCCAAAAGTTTTGTCAGTTCTTTTCAATCCATCGTCAAACACGCTAGAATAAAGATAAACAAACGCTTCAAAATGTATCCGATGCAGAACTTCTTCCTCTTTCCAGATGCCAAACGACGAGAAGCTTGCTGGAAATTACAACCACTCGTTTTTGCCATATCCAACTTTCGCTAATTTTCAAAATTTTTATATGAGACTTTCGGAGGAGCCCTAATAACCAGCAGATAGGGCAAACCTTTTGCCAACAAAAGCAATATTTTGTAGCCTTACGGCTTGTCTTCCAGAGTTTCTACGATTTATTTTTTGAAGTGACCAAATTTTACTTTCAGCTTATTTTAACTTCGTACAACATGAATTGTTAAACAGTTCAATTACTATTCGATGTAAATTTTTCTCCTCTTTCCAATACTTGACCTTTTTGCTGAGGCAGGAAAAATTTGTAGGGAAATCGCAGTATTTCTCAATTTCAGGGATGCGCACTGACGTAACCTATGTTTCAAAATCTTCATAATTTGAAGCGAAAATCGCTCATTTACTTTGAAATGGCAGCGGTAGTACAGGGTGTCCCAAAAGTCTTTAAGCCTAGTATTTCCTCAGCTGTAACTATACTAAGCAACACTGTCACACGAAATTCAGCAGGAATCTTGTGAAGAACCTACAAAATAACGAGGTACACTCAGTTTCGAAAAACCCTTAATTGGCCTTCACACAAGCCCTCACACTCCTGCCCAACGCATGCACCATGGCAGACAGATGTGGACGTCGAGAATGTCTCGCACCTTCTGAAGCAAGCGTTCCAGACTATCTAAAATTTGATGTGGAACAGAGCAAGCCTTGTTTATCATGGCTGATCACAAAGAAAAGTTAAAAACTGTTGAGCCGCCGATCAAAAGCACGTCGATTTGAGAAGCACATCTGCGCGGTTTAACAAAAGTGTTAAAATGTAGCAATCAAGTTCTTGAGAACATCAAGAAAACAGCAATTTTGGTGTGCATGAAAAGACTCTAAAATGGTATTTCAGCAAAAAAAACAGCCTACAACTTGAATTACTGATTCAAACTGAATTGGTGTTGGATTTTTAACTTCCTCGAATTTTTGTTTCCGAGAACTTTTTCTTTTAATTGACACGGCACTATTTTGAGTGTTTGTATCTTAATCCTGCATCAATAGATAAAGACTACGATTAGTTTTGCACTGTAGACGTAAAGTGAAGCTAGCTCTACAATATGCAATTCAAGATTCCGCAACAGCTCCAAAGGCAAAAGAGCTATAGATGTTTGAGTAAAGGGTACGCTAACATTGGTTTGTCCACAAAGTCGTAGTATTGTTTGCTCCAAAAACAATATTTTGAGAATGTGCAGTGCAAACCGTATGATTTTCTTCAGGAATACTTAGAACCAGACGAAGTCCTCATACGCAAAATTTGACTGAAAAGTGAGGAATACTAACGAAGTTGCTACGTCGGAAAATTAGGCTCAAAGACTTTTGGGACACCCTGTAATAATCGAGTGTTGAGACCGCAGTATTCTGCAGGTTTGCAGTGTTTGGTGCAATAAATGCGATTTTTCCATAACACAAGACTTTTAGGAAATTATTCAGCAAAAATCTGAAAAGCAGCTGAAAAAGAAAACAAAAAAATTGCTTCTGTTGGCAAAAGGTTTGCTCTATCTGGTGGTTAATAGGGCTCCTCCGAAAATCTCATATAAAGATTTTGAAAATTAGCGAAAGTTGGACATGATAAAAAAGAGTGGTTGTAATTTCCGGCAAATATCTCGTCACTCTCGTAACAAAACAGAATGGAGTTTGATTGCTGAAAAGAGGAAGAAATTCTGCATCGGATACATTTTGAAA